TTTGGAAAACAAGGTATTGAAGTAGCCGACTTCTTTCGTGTTTCTGGCACATCATACACCTGAAATTACACGTCTGAATCAATTTAGTCCAGAAACGCTGTAAGAATGTGCACAATTATATCAAAACCGACATCTCTGAGACACGAAAGTCTGCAGGCGCGACGTGACATGGGCCAAATGTCAGGATCAGTGTTTTTGACTCAAAGGTGCCCATTGTTTAACACCGTTTTCAAAAGTCCCCAAAGTAAGACATTTACTACATATTTCTTCTATAGTCATGACAAGGCTGCTTCTTATTTATTTATGCATTTTTTTGATAAACAGAAACAAACAGAAGCAATTGAGGGGGGAAATAATAAATAAATCAATAAACACATTTAAAAAAAATTATATATACAGTATATCATATTAAATATATATTATATATAAATACGATATATTAAATATTTTTAATATTAGAGTCATCTTGCCTTGCTTTGATCGAACAGCACTAGTCTTGCTCCCGCATTTTCCATTGGACATCAGGAGAAGACTCAACACAGCACAGAAATTAGAGGCATAGTTCACTATGAATGCACCATAAAAGTGGCCCATGTGACTAGAGTGCTATTCTGTGAAGTTTTTGGTCGTCAGATGTTAGATTTGTGTGAGGAACAGACCAGCTGTTAACCAATAACGAGTCAATATGATGATCTCAAGAAATGGAATTGTGAATCCAGAACTGATTCATTGAAAAGATTTGTCTTAAAAGAACAATGTGAAACAAGTTTGCAGTAGCTTATTATTCGCTGTTGTGTGAGTGTGTGTGTGTGTGTGTGTGTGTGTGTGCTGAAGGTCTGTTTGTTTGTGTTGAGTTGGGAAAAAAGTCTCTTTATCTCCTCATCATTGATAAATATTTTGCAGGAGTTCGAAGGAAGTCATACAGTGGTTCTTTTGATGAATAATGTTATAAAATAACTTTAGCCAAAGTTAATGCTCTTTAATATGTTCTCTAAATAAATCAATCTTTTCTATTAAAAGTCACAGACAAGCAGAAGGCTTGAAAGGACCCTGATTTCCAAACCACTGACTGCAGCGTTGGCCGAAAACTTTAGCAAAAGGAACAAATAAACAAACAGGATTCCTTAAAGTAGAGAAAGAGCCTTTGTCAAAGGGTGATTTTCCAATTACAGAGGTGGAAAATTAGTTTTAGGGATATGTTTGTCTTATGCTTATGGATGGTATTTCTGGCATATACTGTCAGTATTTATTATCCTACACATAATGTTGACCAGTCCTTCTGTTGAAGAGCAGAAAACATGTTTACAGGAATACATTTGAAATGTGAAGCTTGTTCTTCAGTGCAACGGTTGTTTTTTGAGTCTGTAAGTCTTCATTTTGAGGTGGGGCTATACTTTCCTAGGTGGACGAACATCTGCTTATGTGATACAAACGTGATTCCTGTGGGTGGATGTACGGGAAACTGTAATAGTGCACAAGCAATATCACATCAATGTGAAGCTCAGTCAGTATTTTAATTCATACAGTCTGTTTTTAGACTTTTTTGAGCAGATTTTCAGAATAGATTTTGAAGTTGGGTATTTTGCACATTATTGCTGCAGCAAACTACTCAAAACATCTTTTAATGCTATATTGTTTCTAAAATGGTATTTTATTGTAATTTAAAAACATTTCTGTCAATTACATTCTGTACATTCCGTTTTATATTTCTTTTTATATTCTCTATAAAATGGTTATGTTTAGGTTTGGATCTAAATATCTAAATCATAAAATTATAAAATTGCATCTATACAAATATCGTTACGATACAAACGAGTCATAAATATTTGACAATTTTTAGTTATAAATATGTAATAATGTTTAATGTAAAATACGTGCAAATTGTATGCTTCAGCATCAATTGAAACATAAAAATGTATATTTTGTACCTGTAAATGTTACATACTAATGCCTATGTAACAGTGAGACCAGACATTGCAGACATTTCTACATAGCATAACACCAGCCTCTTACTGTATATTTCTATCAGATTATTGGTTAATAAAGCCTAATTTTTGTGCAGTTTCTTGCACGATACCATGTTATGAGCTCAAAACACTTTTGCCATAGTGTATGATTTACAAACTAATACATTTTGATGTTTGTATCACATGCAGCTCCATATGTTTGTCTTTTCTGATGTGGTAAACTTGCTCTGTAGCACACCCGGTACAGCATTGCACTTGTGATGTGAAGCAATAAAACGTAATAAAACATTGCCAGATTCATGTTCATCAGTTTCCAATAAAAACTAATGCACTTTTAGTGCCACTCAGGACATTTAATTTTTAAAATGTTGCAAAACGTGCAATAAGCAACATGATATCATTTTGCTGAAATGTTGCAACGGCACATTTTTCCAAGAAGCCTGGGCTTGACATGCATGATACCTCAATAGCAGAAAGGCAACATTTATACTACATACATTCTTGACAACATTTTGTCGCCTGGACATTCTGCATGTGTTAAAACTGGACATACATGAGTGAGACGGACTGTGTAGTTTTATGTCTGAGACATCTTTTCCACAAACTGTGTGCTCTGAGTGTTTGCTCACCATAGAACATGTTTTATGTAGACAAACACACCTACAGATGTCAGGCCAGAGTCAGAGTAGTTATTGGGTCCCGCTCCACAGGCCGCCGCAATCCACATTTATGTTTTCTCTAACAGACTCGCTGCTCTTCTAATGAAAGGTTTGCTTGCTTAGATGTTTTATGTGTCCTGGAAGGCCAAGCTCTTCACAAAAACAAAAAAACAACAACTCTTAGTTTCTCTTTCTCCTGGCCTTTCGAAGAGCTCCACAAAGCCGAAGTGTTAGTGAGTGTACTTGAAGCTTTCATGGAGGGCAAACATTTGTTCTTTGCTTAAGGGCAATGACTCTTGAACAGGATGCCTGCCTCCTCTCCACCTGTGGCTCCAGCAGCAGCTCTGATCAAAGTCTGCTCTAGTGGGACATGAAACTCTTCATCTCACACACACTTTAGACTCCAGCCAGTTATTGTCTTCTGCTGTATGCGTCTCAACACTGCTGGAGTTCCAGTAGTGTCCAAATCTACAAATAAGAGGAAAAAGGCATTTTCCTAAAACATATTTTGTGCTATTTCCAGCAGAAACACCTAAATATTCTTAAGACAAGAACAATTTAGACTAAATATATTTACATCGTCATTACATATAGGGCTGGGTGTCGAGTTTGATGCTTTTCAGGCACCGACTGAATTGCCTCGATACCATCGAGTATTGAAAAATGTCTTGTTGTTCGATACCAAATCCTATCAATATGGCGATACCATAGCCTATCAGCTAACCTTCAACATGTTTTACACTAAACAACAGTTTTGGATTGAACTATTTTTAGCGTTTACACTGAAAGAAATATGTCGTTATATAAGAGAAGTCACTGACTTTTTGCGACAGCTGGGATTCATCTTATGGCATTTCTCATTCATTCCTATGCTATCCGTAAATGGCGATTGAGTGTCGCACAACTCCGACTGATATTCAGTGACATCAAGGCTGTAATGTGATTGGTTATCAAGGCACACGTGATCCAAGTTGACGTTACGCTTTCTCCAGACCCGCTCATCTCCCAATAGTAAGACAATCTCTGGAGCAGATGCGTTTACTCGCTGATGAGTCTCGATCTCGCGACACTAAACAGAGCTGTGAGATCCAGCGTGAAGCGACTGAATGCAGCCAAGAACACAAACGACTCGTGATTTAAACTAGATTAAACCCAGATGAAACAGCGCTGACAAACAGAATAAACACTGTGCGCAGCGATACAGTCAATCCATTCAATCCACAAATCACCATCATTTACCGCGGATTTACTGTAGTAGCCTAACACTAACTGCACTATGGTATTGTGGCAGAAATGTGCGATATTCATATCAAATTTTATTATATGTCTACTATGGAAGACCAATGGTTAATTTTAATAAAACTCTAACTTCAGCATATAAAAATGAGGTTGTTACAATTGTTACAGATGTTACTGTTTTTGATAATGAACATAAATTTACATCTGCATCCAAACTCAAGCTACTACTGTCAAATGTGCGTTTCTAAGAGAAAAATAAATAAATAAATACATTTAAAAAATAATATTATTAATATTGCAGCCTGCACTGCAAACTGTGCTGAAGATCCTAGTCATCAAAGTAAGGAACACAAGCCTGCTTCATGATTTGAAACAATATCACTCAACAGAACATGCAGAAACTAAGAAATGAATTCTTCTATTAAGATATTCATTTTGTTAAGCAAAAATGACTGGTGAGAAAGAAAGAGTGTAACTAATTCAAAAGCATGAAGTGTTTGTCATGTTCTGATCATAAAGAGTCGTTTAAAACCACAATTAACAGTCTGGTTTCTACAACTTTTACATAAGAGCAAAAATATGCTTTTAAACTTGAAAGAAATAAAGATTTGAAATTGATCGTGATATTTATCAATATCGACTGATATGCAAAATTGTATTGTGATCATTTTTTGGCCATGCACACTGTAGCATCATGCTACAAAAGACAATATATAAAATTGATAATATGCTAAACTCACTTTAAATAAGTTTGTAATAACTTCCGATTGCGATCTAATGTGTGTTTTGGTCATATAATGTTGCTGAAATATGCTATTTGTAGCCTTTTATATCAAGCTAACCGCTACACCTGCTTAACATTTCTCATGTAAACACACTGTATTGTTATAGAAATAGGCAGAATCTCATGAAAATCACATACAAATCATATACTGGTGTGTAACCATGTGTTTATTAGCTTCATGTTTCATCCCTGTAAATGTTTTTCTGGAAGTGTAACGCACGCTCGTCATCAGAGACAGGACGGGTTATGAACACGTAATATGTGTGACATATTAGAAGCGTATGATTCTTAGTGCCACAATCTGGGAAATTTAATATGTTGGTCAACCCGTCTGTTGTGTTTGTTTCTTAGGGAGAGAAAGGAGACGCTGGGCTGCCAGGCGCTGACGGACCACAAGGAGTTCCAGTGAGTCGCTTCTGCTATTCTTCCTCTTTAAAAGCTGCATCTGTTAAATATGTCAAATGTACTTAAATGCATATCTAAAGTGATTTCAAGCAGTTTAGTACTACACTTTTAATCTAAACAAACATCCTTTGCACATGTTGACTGTAAAACTTTGGACCTCTTCATAATTAGCAGTCAAAAATCTGACAGTCGTCTCGCAGTGGTTTCCTGAAGTAAAAAACAACTAAATGAGGAAGGATATTCTGTAAATGAGAGCCCTGCACGACCGCAGTGTTGTCAAATCTACGGGCGCGACGAGAGCCAGCATGATGATCCCATCGCTCTCGCTGTACACCTGCCATCTACAGCAGGGAGCTGTTTCTGCTTTCAGTGTTTCCATGTCAAAACATCCTGTACATATGACAAAAAACACTTTTCTTTTATCGAGTTCTTTACAATCTGGAGTGTCCCGCTAAAATCTTTCACTTTCTGAGGCCAGCAGATAGACGTAATCACAAGAGCAATTGTCACTAATTTAATTGCTCATATGGCCATAGGATGATAAAAAAAAAAAGATAATTGCAACTTTTTCTCTCACAATTTGGACTTTTTTCCCCCATAATTCTTCATTCTGGATTGCAATATATAAAGTCAGAAGAGTGCAATTCCAATAAGAAAAGTCAGAATTGTGAGATATAAAAAGGTGAAAAAAATGTTGCAATTCAGTTTTTTTTCTACCACAGAATATAAAATAAGGTAATACAGTAATTGTGACTTTTTGTCTTACAATTCACTTTTTTTATTTTTATTTTTTTGCAATTCTGAATTTAAATCTCACAATTCTTAGTTTATATCTCACAATTCTGGGGAAAAAAAATCTGAATTGTGAGAAATTGTGAGAAATAAACTCAGAATTGCAAGTAGTCATCAGAAGAGAAATATAAACTTAGAATTCTGTCTTTTTTTCTTGCAATTGCGAGTTCACATATCAGTTTATATATCACAGTTATGACTTTTTCAGAATTGCACATTTAAATCTCGCATTCTGAATTTTTCTCTCAGAATTTAAAGTTTACATCTCTCTCTATTTATTATATTTTTTATATATATAATAATAAGGTAAATGGACTTGTTTCTTGCAATTGTACCATTATATGCCACACATTTTTTGTTGAAGGAAAAGTTGCAATCATGAGATACAAACTCAGAATAAAAAAAAAAAAGAGTCAGAATTATTAGATTAAAAGTTGCAATTCCATTGTTTCATTCTGTGGTTGAAACAGACTTCTATGCACATGACCCATTTCTATGAACAGAATATCATAGAGACCAGCACAGACAGGAGCCACTCGCACATATTTACACATTACAACCTCAAATGTGTGCAGCTGTAATATATTAGCATTAGCTTTGTTTGCCTCCTTGATTGAGAGCACTACACAGCAACGAGAGAAAAATGGATTTCATATTTGATCTACGTGTGTGTTAAATCCATACATACAGTCAAGATGAAATAATTGCATTTTCACGAGCTGCTTGTCAAATGAACAGCCAGCCTCAGAGGAGAACAGAGACTGGCAGCCGAACACTAAAATATACAAACCTGTTTTCCTTCTTAATGTGGCCCACACACTTAATAAGCGCCGCTGCTCCCACTCACTGTGTGTGTGTCAAACCTGCTGCGCTCCAAATCAGCCGTTCAGACGCCATAAAACAAGATACACACGTCTGTACAGCACTTACAGTAGGCTATTCTTATTCAGGAATAAAGGTGAATCTCAGAAAACAACCCCAAAATGAAAAGACAAAACAATACATTGTATGTTTTTAGGCCTTTTTTTGCATTGTAATGTTCATCCTGACATTTTTGTGTTCTCAGTGGTGATTCTCATTATTGTATTATTTGTTAAAAAAAAATAAAAAATAAATAAATCTTACATTTCAGAAGTTTGGGATCAGTAAAAAAATGTTTTAGATTTTAAATGCATTTATTTCTTTTTAAAGAAATTAATACTTTTATTCATCAAGGTCACATTAAAGTGATCAAAAGTGACAGTAAAGACATTTATAATGTTTCTATTTCAAATAAATGCTGTTCTATTGAACTTTCTGCTCATCTGTGAATCCTGAAAAATTACAGTTTAACAGATATTCACATATAAAACAGCTGTTTGAAACTGTAATAATAATTTACAAATTTTACAGTATTTTTGATCTAATAAATGCAGCTTTGGTTCAAAAACATTATTAAATCTTAACGACCCCAAACATTTGAACGCTAGTGTAAACAAAAGTATCATTATTATTATTTGTAAAATTAGTTAGTTAGTCTTTTTGCATTAAGAAGGTGCTTATTTCTTCCTTAAATAAAAGGCCTAATTTTCTAAATGCAAAATTTTTTTTTTTTTTTTTTTGATAAGGTGCATTATTTTACCCCGACATGTTCTTGACAGATTTTGTGCTATTTCATCCATATGGTTGCAATGTGGTTATTTTACTAATTTCTGTTTTTAATTAACGCTAAATATTCTTTGCCAGTAATGATCTGGTTTGGCTTTTTCTTTTTCTTCTTGATGTAGTTCAGCTTTTCTGAAAGAAGAAGAGTCTTTGAGTGAAACGCGATCGATGCAGCCGCTCACTATAACATGACTCATTAACGCCAGATACTATGCAGGCATCTCCATGTCAAAGCTTTTTTACTCTTGGTTCTGTAGTCTCTGAGGATCGTGGAATCAAACACGGACCTTGATGTTTCCTGCACACTTCTGCATGTCTCTCAAAGCCGCTGTTTCAGGTGCTTTGCTAACCTGCGGACCGAGGGCCGTGATGCATCGCTGAACTCTGTATCCGGCTGCATGCTTGTTGTTATTGAGTTATGAAGCTACAACAGAAGATTTGTTTCTTGAATGCAAACATTCAGGCAGGTGCTGAAAGAAGCTGCTGTAATGCGGGACCCTCGTCTGAGTGTTTGTAGGTGCTCATCAGGGCATCAGACGGCTGTGGGAAGTTATTATTCAGTTTGTGGCAGGAAGGAAGAGGGTGTTTGGTTCTCGCATTTCATATTTGGAGAAAATAGTGGTACTTTATAGGTTTTACGGTCACTCGTCTGTTAAGATATTTACATTTTCAGTGTGCAAATGCACACAAAGTAGTAATGCAGCATTTTTCAAGGAGAGCAGCTGGTGCATGTTATTTAAATGTTTCAGTTTTAATTTTGTTTAGAATCTGTTTAATTCTTTAATGTAAAATATGACGTATTTTAAAGTTTTTGAGGTCCTACATTACAAGGGCCCAGTTTTTTCATCTCTCTCTCTCTTTTTTATTTGTATTTATTTATTTATTTATTTTTGCCAATTCCAATTATTTTTATGATTCTCTTTAGATTGTCATGACTTTAGCAGTATTTTTGATAAATAAATTAAATAATATTTTTTTAATAAAAATAATATATTTTATAAAAAATAAAGGTATATAAACAATATATTTGCAATAATAATAATAATAATAATAATAATAATAATACTAATAATAACAATAATAATAATAATAATAATAATAATAATAATAATAATAATAATAATAAATTCATTAAAAGTACCAGCATAATTATTTTGGTACTTTTTATGCAATTAACATTATTTTCAGTGGTGATTCTCATTAATGTAGCAGTAACTGTAGTAGAATTGTTCTGATAAATACATGAATGAATAAATAATAAATGTATACTACTACTACTACTAATAATAATAGTGTAATTAAAAGTCATACAGTACCATGAAGTCTGACATATTACTGGAGTCAAAATGTCAGGAGACTTCATGTTAAATCTTGATGTTAAAACAAAGAGCAGGATATTATTCAGTCAGATTTTTGAGGAACATGATGGTGCTAACAGAGCATTTTAAAAAACATTTTTATGTACTTGACTTCTTGTTCTCCCATCACGCGAGGTTCATCGCTGCCTATTACTGGAGCCTCAGAGGAAGCAGATGGACGGAGGAAGTTTTTAATGGATCTCAATTAAAGTAATTTAGCAGGCTAGAAAAACAGACAGTAGAATTGTGTGAATGTCAGAGAGTCAATTGTGTCCTTTTTCTTGGCAGGCTCCCATTTGAGCAATAGCTTTGCCAGAGTGTAGATTGATTGAG